ACTGGTTGCCCAAAAGGGACCAAAGGAACAACTTCAGCTTTTAAATTCTATCAAAACTAATACGAGTTTTGCACAGATGTTTTGCAAGATTATTTTCAATGCAATAAATTAATCTTTATCTACAAATCTAAAATAATCATGTAGATCTGCTGAGTAGCTGAAGTACTGAAGTTATTCAAAAATGTACTGATGAGAAGTGGTAATCTACATTTTGAAGGGGCTTAATTCTGTTGAGGAAAATATTAAGGAAAAAAAGTAATCATTGGGGGGATAATTTAGCAAAATGAAATTTTACAGTGTTTTATTGCATTTCCAGAAGCCTAATTTGAATATTGAAGATGAGAAAGAACATATCGGTCCTGTGCTGAACACAGGTTCAGCAATTCTGACTTTCCCTCGTTAACCCAGTGAAGTGTTTAATGCTACCTACCTGAATCATCAGCTAATCTGCTGATTCTCTCCAACACAGCAATACAATCTCTCTCATCATCACTGACTTCCTTCAAAGTGTCCAGCAAACTTCGAGCCACCATTTGCCTAGTTTACAAGAAAGATTAAAAATTAGCATTATTTGTGTCCAGAAAAACAGCCAAAAAGTTGTGCAATCATACAAGTTTCTTAAACCAAACAGTAAAATTTTACATAGATTCGTTTTTAACTCAGTCAATTGAGTTAGTCCTGCTTTGGGAATTCTTAATTCTGATACCTGGCATAATCCTAAAAAACTGTTAACTTTAAACGTAACATTAAAAGTATCTCTTTGGTTTACAAGGATAAGGAAAACCAGCCACAAAGATAAAAAATAGTAATCATCTGCTAAGTGGGCAAACAGAAGGCCAATGTTAGGAAGTTAGTGTCAGCCTTCCATCCTCACCTCTGAATTCCCTAACTTGTTCCATACAAAGCAAGACAACACCACTATTGTCAGAACAGCGCTAAACAGAATTATGAACTTATTTCACAAACAAAAGCATGAACATTCAAGCTGAAGATTTCCATACTCACAGTGACAGAAGCTAAACTTCATTCAAATGCTATATAGAGCAATGGGTATATACCATGAAAATAAAATGTACTAGCCCATGTGGGACATATACAATAAGCAAAGTAGAAAGTGAAACAAGTCGGAATCAACTCAGTTACTTCTAATGCACAAGAAATTTTTCTAAGGATTAACTCGTCAGTGACAAGATATAGTTAAATTTGGATTTTTTCCCCTCTAAGGTTCTGTTGCAGCCTACGTTACAAAGTCATACCCATCAGTTACCTAGACCGCCCTAAACATTACATTTTAAACAATGCAGCTGGCAATGTGCGGCAATCAACCTTTCTCCTCAACAATTGCCTAACTTTCCCCACCACCACGCTTTTGGACAACATGGGTTGAACACCAGTTCAAAGAGCTAGCCAGATGATCCCAACAGTGGAATGGACCAAGGAACAGCATCCAACACGCTACTAGCTCTTGTACTGCCCCAGAGCAATTTATCAAAATGCTGAAGCAGCAAGGGTCAAGTGCCAGATATTTCCAGAACTGACAGAAACACTGTTAGGATGTAGCCTAGATATAAGCACTGTTGACAAACAGCAGTGCTGTAGACAAGAGTTGAAGCATAGCTAAACTTTATCACGTTCACTACAAACAGTGAATGTAAGCAATGGTCACAAACTGGTAAGAAACAGATGGTTACATTCCTAGTGTTCGAGAAGTGGAGAACTTCGCAGCTCCATACAAATGGAGAAATGCAGTAGGTCTTCATGAATTCCCTAAGCTGAGCAGACATTTCCATTTCCTCAAACTGAAAATCAATAATTTAAATGTTTCACATTGGCCACTTGCAAAACTATCTTAAACTGAACTTTTTTTTGGCATACACATCAACAAAATCCTCTAAAAAAACCCAAACTGCAAAAAACTGTTTGCCTTCAACAAATTTCTTCGCCCTCACTCTTCTCAACTTGGTAAAAGTGCAACATCTCAGCAGAGATCTTGATATGCAGTTGGAAGTTCCACTATCAAAATCCTAACGGAGGGAAACAGACTATGTGACACACTAACCTAGAAGCAGAATTGACTTGGTCTTTTAAAGGGCTGGACGCTTCTGAAAAGAGAAGAGGAACAGACGAAGCATATTTCATAAACCAGCCTGCCAGGATGCACGTGTCTCCTACATATCAAAAAAACCTTAGAAAGCAAGAGACAAGTCAACTGACCCACTGAGTTGGTCTCAGCAAGTAAGGAACCACAATAAACAGCACTACATCCCATCTGGCTCCTGGTGACTATGGAATGGCCCCCTACTACACTGGGAGTTTTGAGAAGACTCTCATCTCCTCACAGAGCTTTGTTAGCAGTATCCTGAACCGTGGTGGCTGCATCCCACAGTAAGTCTTTGCTAGTTCCTGTGAGTTGGACAGATGGCTATGCAGAAGTAGCCGCCCTGTAAATTGAAGGCTACAAACCTTCTACTCAAGAGGAGATGAAAACACAAATTCTAACTTGAAGTAGTTATGACTTATTTATTAAACCTACTCAAAGCTACAAAGAGACACTCAATTTTTTTCCCTGGACTAAAGGTGGAAGACGGCTCCCACCTGCATCCAGGTGGTATTTCCCTCTTTGGCTTGTAAAGGAATCAGTGGGTCTACTTTTACGTTCAGCAGATTCTGGTAAAAAGTATTACAAGACGACAACAGGGCAAGCTAAGCTCACTTTAGAAAACTGGGTAGACAGCCAGTAATGACAGGGTCATCTCTTAACTCCATCCGTCTAGTGGTTCTGGGAGACAATGTCCTCTCATGTCTTCCAAACATTACAGGCTCTGACCTAGCTCTGCCACAAGCCCCAATAATCTGCCAAAATTGTTCTTGTGCCTCTAAGGCACAAACATAGGACACAGAGCTAAATCCACCTCACGTTTGCCACAGGCTGAGGGTTAGCACATAGGCAACTAATGTACAATGACTTCCTCCGTGCAAGCTCATGCTGTAACATGCTCTGCTTACTGGAGAGAAGAGGTTGGAGAGCAAGGGTCCCTGTTGCCCTGTCTAGCAGTTTGATTTTACTTCTCATGCAAGCATTGGCAGTCAAGCTACAAAAAAGCCTACAACAGAGGACTGCAATGTACTGTCAATGCATAGCAGCATAAGGCAAGCAATAGCTTGCCTGCAACTTGCCAGGTGAGTACCAGGTAAGCATCTGTGAAATTGTAAGAGCTCTGAAGGATGACCTGTCTGGTCTAGACCCAAACAAAACAACAAAAATAGGTGGACATGCTTCATGCTCAAGAGGCAAGGAGACACCTCCTGTGACAGGGAAAAAGAGGAGGAGTAGGTTTCCTCTAGGGATAATGACAACATGTCCCCATTAACTGCATTCTAACAGGGAATCAGACTCCTTCAAGTACATATGTGACAGAAATTACTCCAACATTAATGATGACAATATAAGTAATTTGAACGGCATACATTATGTTACTATACATTACTCCTGGTTACGAGGGCATGATTTGGGACTAGGATTAACGGTTTCTTGCTATTTCTGTCCTGCCACTGGTTTGGGTTTGTGCAGTGCTCACCTCTAATGAGATACCAAGCTCCACTAAGAACTTCTACCTTTACACATTCTCACAGTGAAGCAGGGTTGTCTTCATTGCAACAACTAGTAGAACTGCATCTTCTTGCCCATTCAGTCAGATCTTATACCTGATTCTTCCAGGTCCAAAGAAGACTTTCTCTAGCTGCTCTGGGAAGTGAAGCTTCAAATCAATAGCCCTACAGCTGTGAACTCTCAAAGAAAATTATTTTTTCACCATACCCGTCTTTGGTATACAACTGCCACCTAAGCAGCAATGCATCTATTTATCCATTAAATAGCTTACAGGTCAAAGAAAGGGCAGAGGTCAAAGGCTGGAACGTAGCATTCAGTACAAGCGCTCGAGCTATTATGTGCTGAGGTGGAGGATAATTAGCAAAGTTCAAGTTTTCACAAGCATGCATGGGGAGAGCTTGTCCAATGGTAGAAAAACTGACAGGATATCTCGTAGGCACGCTTCATTGCAATTAGCAATGGGATTAAACGGGGATAGATTACAAACACCTTGCCTTTATGTCCACATGAAGGGCACAGATATTTTGAAGACTGCACACAGAGACATAATCAGGATTTGTGACAGTATCTTTGCTTGGCTCATTCAAACTCATTCAAACTACTTTGACCTTATTTGGAATCAATACTGGAAGTTCTAAGTAGTACAATTACTGTGCACCAATCACCATCATTAGCCCTTTAATAAACTACTACAGAATTTAAATGAGTTCATCGGCACAAGGAGTGCACATAGCTACTAAGTATACATTAAAAGAAAAAAGAGACAAAGAAAAGGAAAGATAATTTTTTCTTCGCCCATTTGTGCAGAACTTCAAAATCAAGACCTGATGACATTTCATGTTTAAGTGAATATTGGTCATAGTAACTTAACTTGTCACTGTATCTCCAAATAATCTCAGAAGCTATTCTGAATAAACTCCCAATTTCAAAATCATCATCTTTGTGCCCTTCTTAAGGAAGGCTAAATACGCAGAGGTACGTTCAGTATTCTTGAAGTAAGACTTCTCTTAGTGCTTTGGGAAAATTCTGTCCTTTGATAGTTCAGCTTATATCATTTTATTGTACACTTACAAGGTAAACTTTCTCCATCTATACTGTGGAAGTAATTTACTTGGTATGCATGTATTTGCAAATTCGTGCAAAAAAGGTGTTCTGAGGTTTCATTTTTACTAAATTTTATTCTTTGATGTACAGTGGGCTTAGAAAGACTAAAACATGAAAACAGAGGAAAGTTAGACATTAGCAGAAATAACCTAATTTATCCTAAAATTATGAGAAGTGTCCTAGTCAGAATGAACACCACTGGAGTTTCACCTGCATGGTTTTGGTACGAGTTTGGTATTTCCTTATTGTCAGTACTCAACAAATACCCAAAAAAGAGAAAGTTTACACTGGGTTAGACTGCACAGACAGAAGGAAAGTGAGTGGGGAAAGAAAAAGAGTTACAGCTCTGGATAACCAAATTCTCAATTAACTTGTTAGTTATAATCTGATCATATTTAAATGAAAATAAGGCAAGGTAGTTTCTTACACTTAAGGAAGGTCTTGATTAAGATTCTCAACATCCCACCAATCATACTTAGAGAGGGTTTTGATACACATTACTGCACAGAGGGACGAAAGCAGTATTCTTCTATTTTAGTGGGGGCACTTTCTGCATGCAAGTCCTAGTTTTTAAATACACAGTAAAATGACATTCTTCACTCTGCAAAAGGGAGTGGAGAACTGGAAAGGCTTACAGGATAGCCCTGATACATCTAAAAATGTATCGATACCCTCAATTCCTTGAAAGAAATTGATTTCTCAGTTCCTGAAACAGAGCATATATTCTAAAAACTTCTAGACTGTTTTCCAGAATCACAGACATGTAAAACCAAGGTTTAGATTGTGACTGCTGCAGTCAGGAATTGTTAAAATAATTCATTGCCACACATGGTACAGCCTCCTTTCTGATGTCAATCTCTCTTCCATTTGGAGTCTAGAAAGAAGGCTGCCTTCTACCAACCATATCAGAAACTACATGTCTGTACCACGAAATCAGAGCAGCCTTCACCTATACTGTAGACAGCAAAAATGCTACTGATAAGTTGTATGTGAGTACACACACCTACACTTAATCCCTCTTTGAGATCTGACACATCCTCAGTTACTGCCCAGTGCTGCTCTGAGTATTTTGAAGTTAAACAGGTTTTTTTTTTTTAAATAGTTTCAAAAGTCATCAGGTACTCTCCCAAGGGAAAAGCAAATAAGTACTTCAGAACACAAAGAAGCATGGCAAGAGGATAGCTTAAAAATATCTACGTTTACATGTAGATAAAGCCTTGATAGCCAAGACTGGTCGTACTGATGAATGAGAGTCCGCTGCCAAGATCTGCTTTGGTTTAAAGAGCAAGGGCAACAGCAATTTCTCAAAAAGGAGGCTGATCAAACAGGAAGGGTCTGTTCTTCAGGAACTGGCTCGCTATTTGAACAGATCTATTGGTGAGTGTTGTATACTTCTGAGTCTTCCTAATGATGAATGGAAGCAAGTTAATGGCAATAAAGCTTAGGAAAACCCACAAAGGATTTTTAAAATGAGAAGATACAAAAGCTATGCTCCAATTTGCACCAGCAATCAGTTTTTAAAGCAAATAGCAAAATGGAATCCCCATCCATGCATGCATGCACACACACCAGCACTACAAGACAAAAGGAGACCTTGTGTTTCAGGGTGATGGTCTTGGCTTTCTGCTCTGCATCTACTATTGCTGCAGTATAATATTGGATTATTAAGGCATATGGTAGAAATGCTTCTCAAATCTGGTCTGGAGGCTGCCTCTTCATTAATAAAACCGTAACTGGAGTCCCACTTGCCTTGGTTTTCAAATACAAGAGAGGTAATTTATTGTAATATTCGTTAGGTTCCCCTCCATTCTCATAGACTAAGACATCATCTGTGGTGCTGATCAGCAACGCTTAAAACAGCGAGGATGTAGACTATAACACGCCAAAAATTATCACACAGCAACTCCTTCCACCATTTAGGAAGCTGTTAAAGGATTCCCTACCTTAGACTTTTTTTTCAGTTCATCCTGTCAAAAATCATGTATATTTAAATGAAGAAGCAATTGCTATTTGCAAGTTCCAAGTCCAATCTGCTACAGTTTCTCAGGATGCAGACACAGATCCATTTCCATCTCAGAGCAACTGGCTTTGGTCTTCAGACACCAGCTGAGAAATCGTGAGCGCTCAAGGAATCCACTCAAAGGAAACTAGGCTTTTGTAGTAATTGTTAAAATTTCACATTAATCATTCAATATAATCACACACTGCAAATATGACACATATGTAGATGACTAACCAGATAAAAAATGATAATAAAAACAAATACAAAAAGAAATAATACTTTAAATGAAATGTAAACATTTTTTAAAAAAAACACACTAAAAGCAAATTTATCTGTTTAGAAAAAAAAAATCTTATCCTAATTTACCCAGGCTCAATGATTATGTTTCAAGGGTTTGGGCATCTGTACTTTGAAGCTTCCACACAAATGTGGGTTCAAGGTCACAGAAACAATCAAAACATTAACTCAATCATAGTATAACATTAAACTACACATAAGTAATTGGATGTGATTATACCATACTAAGAGACATAAATTACATTTAAGTGGTTTATTCTTATCTTTTCCCTATGAAATGCTCCTGTTCATCCATCTACCAAAAATCTCTCCAATTATTCCTGAGACTGACTAACACTGAATCATCACAAACTGTCTGCAACGGTTACTCACTATCACTTATAGCGATATAACTGCTACTCACAGTTACATCATTACTGGCTATCATATGTTATTTCCTATATTTTCTGTTTCTACGTAACACAGTACGCCCACAAAGACAGCTAGGATTAAATAACAAGTTTATGGGGGGGTGGAGGGGATCAGCAACAAAAAAACCCAGAAACAAGCAAACACAACAGAGCCCCAGGGAAAACTATAGTTACTCCACCCATCTTCCCCTGCAGCAGGGCACAGGCAAGCACAGGATGCTTAGAGCTGGACAGTGTCACCAAAAAGATCTCAAGCTTATGCATGCCCCACACCCCATGCAATCCATACTGAGAGACTGGGAGAGACTTTTTTTTCTTAAATGGGCAATATTAGGACCACTATCCATGTTTAAAATTCAAGTCACAACAACTTCTGAGTTTGTTCTCCTCCCTACCGGTTTTTATTACATAATTGTCACTTATAGCCCTAAAGGCTCCTCTTCCCTCACCTCCTGTGAAAAAGTCAAACACTCAGAAACTCCTTCCTGGTTGGCAAATTGCTGATTTCATCTCAAATTGTAAAACAGCACAAACTTTCGATTTCAGGAAAACAGAAAACTTTAAAATCAGGCATTTTGGAACTAATTTATGCATACAGATTTATGCATGTTATAATAAGAGAAACCATTCTATGGGTTTCAGTTCAATCGGAGTGAAAGCCTTCCAAACGGGGGATGTTCATATATACGAGTATGGAATTTTAAGCAGACTTCACATGACTAAAGTTAAGCACAGCCCTAAATCCTTACAGAACTCAGGTCAAACAACAAAACAGAGGCTAACCTACAAGGGTAGTCGATCATAGACTTATCTTCTGTATACTACCAAATTAAGAGTTCAACATACAAGCAAACATGCTTTATTAAAGATTTATTTGGAGCCCAAACTAAACTATGTTAAAATAGGACACAAGAAAACTTCAACCTTAACATACAAATGCTGATTTTTAATTTCTCCATTCCATTGCAATGTCTGTGTGCAAGGGATGGGGCAGGGGGTGGTGGTGTCTGTCTGAAGTATGCTATAATACCTGTACTTTTAAACGTAACAACTAGCTCAGTGGCATTACAGACACCAAGGTCAGTGCAGAAGGAGGGGCAGGAGGTGCTCCAGGCGCCGGAGCAGAGATCCCCCTGCAGCCCATGGTGAAGACCATGGTGAAGCAGGCTGTTCCCCTGCAGCCCATGGAGGAAGGATGAGGGGGTGTAGAGATTCCACCTGCAGCCCATGGAGGACCCCAAGCCAGAGCAGGTGGAGACACCTGAAGAGGCTGTGACCCCGTGGGAAGCCCACGCTGCAGCAAGTTCCTGGCTGGACCTGTGGACCCGTGGAGAGAGGAGCCCACGCCAGAGCAGGTTTGCTGGCAGGACTTGTGACCCTGTGGGGGACCCACGCTGGAGCAGTTTGCTCCTGAAGGTCTGCACCCCATGGGAGAGACCCACGCTGGAGCAGTTCGTAAAGGACTGTAGCCCGTGGGAGAGACTCACGTTGGAGAAGTTCGTGAAGGACTGTCTCCCATGAGAGGGACTCCACGCTGGAGCAGGGGAAGAATGAGAGGAGTCCTCCCCCTGAGGAGGAAGCAGCAGCAGAAACAACATGTGATGAACTGACTACAACCCCCATTCGCTGTCCCCCTGTGCCGCTGAGGGGGAAGGAGGTTGAAACCAGGAGTGAAGTTAAGCCTGGGAAGATGGGAGGGGTGGGGGGAGGTGTTTTTAAGTTTTAATTTTATTTCTCATTCCTCTACTCTGTTTTGCTTGGTAATAAATTAGATGAATTTTCCCTCTAAGTTCAGTTTGTTTTGCTTGTGACGATAGTTAGTGAGTGATCTCTCTCCGTCCTTATCTCGACCCGCAAGTGTTTCATTATACCTTTTCTCCCCTGTCTAGTTAAGGAGGGGAGTGATAGAGCAGCTCTGGTGGGCACCTGGCTTCCAGCCATGGTCAACCCACCACAAATGTAGACCACAGTATTAACTGAGTAAGATAAGACTTTCTTTTCAGCAATTTTTCATTTTCAATAACCAGAAGCAGCAATACTCAAATTGTAAACTATGGATGAGGATGATCCTGCAGAACACTTCTTGGGTTCCTCTGGCAATCAGCAGTGTTGTTCATTATCCTCTCCTGACCTTTTGTGAAGTGTTTTCTTAAAGTCACTTTCCACACAGATTTATGGATACAGTTTACTATTATCTTTTAGTCCTGCATCAACAGGAATGTTATAGCATCCACAAAAACCCTAAACGAACGTGGTCCAAGTAATGAAAAAGTTCAAGAAGTCCTGAACTACAGCTGCTTAAGAGGTAAGCAAATGTTCTTCTGTTATCATTAATATTGCGCTCTGTAACTAGGAGTTACAGGAAACAAAGAGTAAAAACTTAAGAATTTTGTAAGGTTGTTGTGGGGTTTTTTAATTACGTGTATTTCATGCAAATTAACTTCAGTCAGATTTGAATCAGATTAATAGTTAGCCAGACAGGACATTTAAAAAGCATACCTGTTAAATATGTTCTCACTTGCAGCGTACTTGTCAAGTCTTCCCAAAGGCGTCAACATTTCATCTTGTGAGACAAAGTCCAGGGCTGAAGGTATAATAATCACATCAGACTCTGAGCTGTAGTCATCCACACCAACTATCAGAGACATCAGAAATATTCCTTATCATCACAGTAGTTTAACACTAAAATGATGTCTGTTGTTGGTCTGAAATATAAAAGTCTAGGCAAGATCCCACTTACAACATATTTACTAACTGCACTATATCATTCCCCCTAGCTTTCTCCAACCCCCATAAAGCCTTTTCTATACAAGTTATTGATCACATATAAATTGGACTAAATGGATTGTGAGTAATTTTCTCTAAATTTCCAAATATATTGTTTCACTAAACATCTAAGGTTCATGATATCTTTAGCTGACGAACAGTATTTTTATACCTTACATTTTTATTACGCAAATGCCTTTTAGCTAATTCTAAAGTCAGCTTTTTGAAGACGCATCAACTAAATCATAGTGGCAATTAGCCCAGAGATAAAGAGTTAATACATCATCTAACAGAACAGAAAAGTTTTTTTTTAAAAAAAAATCTAAGTTACACTTGTTAAAAAGTTCAGATGTGTGTTTCTATATCCAACTACCAATTACAATAGGCACAATTCACCTATTGCATAATTATTAACCAGCACATCAATAAGGAACTTCATCTAAATAGACACCTCTATCAACATGGAACCACAATGAAATGGAAAAAGGGTCCATCTCTGCTCTGTACAGCTGCTCAGAGAATTAGGATTTGAATTACCACCTTTTCTGGCTTCCATATGCCCTCAAAACTACTCAAAAACTCAGTCCCAAAACACCTCACACTCAAACACCTTAGCCTGCAAATGCAATCACTTATGTGCAAGAACTATCCCAGATCATCTACTTTACTCCTGAAAATACAACAGTACAGTACACTACAACTATTCTCTTCAGTATAGCCAAGTTTCTCTGAAAAGCCTTTTGAAAACTGGCAAAGAGAGGTGGATGGAAGACAAAGGCAGATCTAGAAATCCAACCATGATTTTTTAAAAAAGTGAACTATATAGAGGAAAGAAAAAAGATTATTGTCCTCTTACCTTCCATTCAATTATACTATGTTATGCAAATTGTTTATCAGACATTGTATCATTATCTTCTACATTCAGAATACACAAGCAGCTACCATTTTCTGAGCATCTTCGTTAACATATTCCAAATGTCCAAAGATTTAAAACCAAACTCTCTAGAAGAGTAATATTTCTTAGATTTAAACTGAGTTAATAGTATCCCTTCACCAACAAACTAATTCTCCGATTTTCTAGGTAGAGAATCAATGGATGTTGTTTAACTGGTCATAAATAAATCCCATCCCTGAAGGAGGGTCCAGATTCTGCAGTTGCTGAAAGGACATGAAATCCTTGCCAGAAATCAAATGAAGAAGTGATGGGAAAAGCGCAAGGCCATAAGAAGAATCTGCGAAATAGAGGCAAGGAAGAAAGCATGCTAGGAACTATGAGACAAAGTAGATGGAAGAGCAATTTGGGAAGGGGAACTAGTACTCTTGGATACGCCTAAGATAGAGGATAACAAACTGCAGGGGGAGGCTCAAAAAAAAAAAAAAAAGCTACAGAAAGCTATTGCAGCACAAAAGGAAAGCACTTAGTAACCCCAGGTTTACAAAACTGTTTGAATTTGTGTTTGGTTTGGGTTTGTGGGTTTGGTTGGGGGTTTTTTTGATCTGTTTTGGTTTTTTGCAAGAATCAGTTATTTTCACAGGAAAGGTGGGGGAAGGTAAAAATGCACTCATAACGCAAGTTAAGATTTTATGCCAGGTTAAGTTAACAAGGAACAGGCTACATCCTTTGACAGGCTCATAGGCCTTTAATTCAACCCGTAGATCCAATGAAACACAGAGAAACCCTGTGTCTATAGTTATGCCATGCACTTTTCTTACACAGTCTTCTTTTTAGACTACTTCAGTTGGAAGGCACGTACAGTGATCATCTAGTCCAACTGCCTGAGCACTTCAGGGCTGATCAAAAGTTAAAGCAAATTAAGAGCATTGTCCAAGTGCTCTTAAACACTGACAGGCTTGGGGCATCAACCATCTCTCTACGAAGTCTGTTCTAGTGTTTGACCACCCTCTCGGTAAAGAAATGTCCCAATGTCCAGTCTAAACCTCCTCTGGTGCAGCTTTGAGCCATTCCCATACGTCCTGTCACTGGATCCCAGGGAGAAGAGCTCACCACCTCCCCTCCTCAGGAAGCTGTAGAGAGCCATGAGGTTGCCCCTCAGCCTCCTCTTCCCCAAATCAGACAAGCCCAAAGTCCTGAGCTGACAGAACATTTTATTGTATGTGAGCTCCTACTGTCAGAGGGCTGACTCAAGACATACTTTGAAGCAACAAACACATTCTGCAGCATCCACACATGAAATAAGTTACACAGATACTCCTTATTGCAGGAAATGAATTGCATTAATTTTTATTTTGTATCATTATGATGGCACCCTTCACTAGGGAGCTAAACCACTGCACCCAGATCGATTTCTAAACTACAGAACTTTAATTAATACAGTGAAGTTATGACACAACCAACTGGGGAGAAAAAAATCACTTTAATATTCAGTGAATTAATTCTATGACAGGGTCCTATTTTCCTAAAGTCTGTTGATCATACTACAAAATTTAAAAGCATAAATTGAAGAAATTATGTCAGAATACCAACGTAATTTTCCCCACCAATATCATTATTTTTACTTAGCTATCAAGTGCATGAATATAAATAAATGATGACCATTATATCAACCACCACTATTTTTACATGATCCATTTTTCTCCTCTCAAACTCAACTTTATGTTCCTCTCTTTCCCCTCTGCATTTATCCTCCCCCAACACTCCTACAGTGAGTGGTCCAATGGAGATGCCATCTTAGAATCATGGAATGGTTTGGGTTGGAAGGGACCTTAAAGACCATCTAGTTCCAATCCCCCTGCCATGGGCAGGGACACCCTCCCCTAGACCACGTTGCCCAAAGCCCCATCCAACCTGGCCTTGAACATTTCCAGGGAGGGGGCAGAACATGGCAACTGGTCACTCTATGTGTCTTAACACATAAACATGCACCAAAGTAGACTAGATGTCTGATGCCTTTGATTTAGTGAACTCAATGTTCTGATAACTGGTTTCACAAGGCAAAAATTAAAGTCAACCAAACTGCTAAATCTACTCTATAACATATGTAAGTACCAATTATAAAGATAAGAGCAGCTGCTTACAATTCATCTGTTTGATATCTCCTACTAGTTCAAATAGAAAGCGAGGTGTGTGGATTTGATTCTGCTGTGTCTGTACATTGTAAAATTAAGTTTAGCACTACATTGGGCTTGATGTGCCTCTGCTACTGATGCTGAGCAACATCGATAATTTAAGTAATTCTGGCATCTCAGCTTGTAGTCACAAAAGTGATCATTCAAATAGCAGCATCCTGAAAAATGCAACACCAATACCAACAGGGAAGAGAGGGGTGATAAAAATAAATCAATCAGTACTATGAACAGTTTATAGTTCTTTTAAAGTACTGTTACAGTTATCTTGCATATTAATTTTCACTTTCAACATCAAGACACCAATCCAGGTGAAGAGAGGCATCAGCCCAGTAGAATTCCCATTCTAACAAAGCCCCTCAAAGTGGATGTTTGTCTTTAACTTGCCCCAAATATGGCTCACCAATCTAACCACTCCTCATCTAAAATGCATAAAGAGCATACTCTACATTATTCATAAACCAAGTCACTTTGATATTCCCTATACTTGGAAGGTTATTCCAAAAAAGCTATCAAAAAGGCTGTTAGCTGAATATTGCCTCTTGAGCCCTCCTCTGCTTTCCACCCAACTTCGAGCACTTGCCCAAGTACCACAGGACCTTTTGTAAAGTTTACAAATGTAAAAAACCACCTTAAACACAAGTGTACCAGTTTTAGCTGGGATAGCATTAAAATTCTTCACAGTATCTTGTATAGGGGTATTTTGTGCACCTCCAACCTACTCACTGGCAGGGCACTGCGTGAAGCAGGAAAGGCCTTGACTTTGTGTAAGCACTGTTCAGCAGTAACTAAAACATCCCTGTGTTATCAACACTAGTTTCAGCACAAATCCAAAACAGCCCCATACAGGCTACTACGAAGAAATTTAACTCTATCCCAGCC